ATTTTTGACGAAGAAATGTTGGTGGAATCTCAAAATACTCCTGAGAATCATAACAATGAGATGAAATCTCAGAATATTTTCGAGAATAATGAGGTTGAGCAGAGTTTAGATGCTGCAGAAGGGCATCGACAGGTAGATTTTTTTAATGAATGATGTTTGAATGCAGTTCTAGGTTTTAAGGAGTAATTTTATTGCTAATGAAATTTGCTCTATTTTTAGCTCTATTTTTAGAGCTCTATTTTTAGATGAGTTTTAACGCTAAGTTTCGGTTGGGTGAGATGTCGTGTTATTTAGGAAATATAGTGGTGATACAGTGGTTATTATTGTATTTGCTCTCCATTTCTTATTGTTCATTAGAATATTAGTTGGGGTTTGATGTTATTTTCTTAGTATCTGGTATCATAATGTAAAGTGAATGTTGAGGATTTGAATATATTTTGGTAGTATCACAGTGTTATTTTGGTGGTATCATAATGTAAAGTGAATGTCTCAAGAATTTGGTGTTATTTTGGTAGTATCACAGTGTTATTTTGGTGGTATCATAATGTAAAGTGAATGTCTCAAGAATTTGGTGTTATTTTGGTAGTATCACAGTGTTATTTTGGTGGTATCATAATGTAAAGTCAATGTCTCGAGGATTTAGTGTTATTTTGGTAGTATCACAGTGTTATTTTGGTGGTATTATAATGTAAAGTCAATGTCTTGAGGATCACAGTGTTATTTTGGTTGTATCACAATGTAATGTTTTTTTCATGTGGATTTGGTGTTACTTAGGTATTATCACAGTGATACACTAGTTGTTTTTGTAGTTGTTTTCCATTTCTGGTTGTTCGGTATAATATAAGTTGTGGTCTGATGTTATTTTGGTAGTATCACATTGTTATTTTGGTAATATAATAATGCATCGTTACTGTCGTGGAGATTTGGTGTTATTTTTGTAGTATCACAATGTTATTCATGTGACAGTATCACAACGTAACGTTACGGACGCGGGATTTGGTGTTATTGTGGTAGTATCGCAGTGTTATTAAGGTAATGTTGGATCTCCTGAATTGATTTTATTTTAAGAGGTCAGTAACATAGCTTAACGTCATTTAATACTGTTATTATGGTATTATTATCTTGTTATTTATGTATTGTAACATTGTATCTATGATGTTTAAATCTGCAGTCACCCGATACAGAGAAATTGCTTAATGCAGTTGTCCACAACGAGAATGAAACATATGAACAGTATTGTTTATATGCACACCATATTGGATTTACTGTGCGAAAGGAACACAGTGGTTTCTGGCCGAATTCAAAGAAGCTGAAGACAAA